GCCTTTCTCGGCTCCTTCCCGCCTCTCTCTGCGCTTTCCACGATCGCCTGAGCTAGGGAAATCAATAAGCCCAGGCCGCCTGTCGCAACTTTCAGCGTTCAGCGTCGGCGTCCGGTGGCCACTGGGGCGCGGGGCGGGTGCAGGGCCCGGGGCTGGGCAGCGGCGGGAGGGGACGTGCGGCGGGTGCCTCTAGAGCTCAAAGTTTGGACTCGAAGCAAACTTTTCCCTTTCCCTTTCCACGGGTGTGTGCCCCTTTGGTGCCCCTGGGCTGCCCTGAGGGCCCTGGCAGACTGATTAGGGACGCCTGCGCCCTGGGCCCCAAGCTTGGGGTCATCTCCGGAGCCACGCGAGCCTTGTCCCGAACCCAGCAGTGGGGATGCTTTCCCGCTAGCCCCCGATCCTTGAAAACTCAGAGACACACCCGTGCACCCTCCACCAGACACACAACCCCACGCGCGTTCCTTCCCCGCGGCCCCAGCTTCCTCGAGAGGCGCCGGCCACAGCCGTGGCCAGATCCTCGGGTGGGCACGGGAACAGGGTGCGCTGCGAGGAATCGCAGTACCCGGATCCTCCTCCCTTCGCCACGCACACTTTCTGGTTTTACCCCCCCACCCCCCACCCCTCCAGCCTAGGGAATGGGGTGGGGGGATTTCCAAAGCCCTGGTCGGTTCTGCGACGCACGCGTGTCGCCGCGTCCCTCCAGCCTTGTCCCGGCAACCGATGGCTCTCCATTCCTCGCCTGCGCGCAGCCTTCCTCCCCAGATCCCAGCGCTTCATTCCTGTCCCGCAGAGACGACTCCCCGGAGCCGACCAGCCGAGGCGGCGTGCGCTTGGGGTGGGGACCAAGGCGGTGGCGGTGGCGCCAGGAGCCGAGGAGTTTGCCAGCTGCCGCGGGGTCGCGGTCATTTGCTGCCTCCGCCTCCCCTCGCCCCCGCCTCCCGCCCCCCTCTTCCCCAGACACCGCCGCGCTCGGAAACTTTGATTCCTTCTCCTTTTTGGCCCTCGGCGAGCCCCCCTCCCCACCTGTTGTGAGCTCCGCCTCGGTCCCCGGAGACTGGCGGTGACACACACACGGGCGCCGGGGAGCTCCGCGCCCAGAAACAAAGTCGCATGCCCCCTCCCAAGTGTTTGCTTCGAAATCGCTGCCTGCAGTCCCCCATTGCCGCGCAGCTCCCGCCCCCCGAGAGAATAAGGACTAAATAAACAGTTGTAACTCCAAACCGTGCGCCCGCGACCGTCTCCCTATCCCACCCCCTTCCCCCCGTCCCTCCCCCTTCTTTTTTTGTTGTTGCAACTTTGTGAGATCCTGGGGAAGGTGCGGAGACTTGGGCTCGGGCCGATTTCCCGGTCTCGGGATCGTCGCTGGGATTCCCGGAGCCGCGTCCTCTCGGCTCCACGCGCTCTCAGGGTCCTCCGAGCCCGCTGCCCTCTCTGCTCTCGGTCCCTCCACTTACTCACCCGTCCCGTCCCCTTCGATTTCCCCCAACCTGCACGGGGAAAGACTTGCTGAGAGAGTCGCCCCGGTTTCTTGTCGACCGCAGACCCCGAAAGTTTGCCCGAGGAAGAGAGTGCGCGGCGGGCGAGCGAGCGGGCCCAGGGCAGCGGCAGCCGCGCCGGGGACGATGGTGCTGCCGGCGCCGCCTCCGCGGGCGTGAAGGCAGCGCTCGCGTCCCTCCCCGGACTCCGCGGGTAAGTCGGGGCGGCCGCGGCTGCCGGGGCGAAGACGCGGGCGGGGGGCGCGGGGCTAAGGACACCCGAGAATCCCGGGCTGCACCCGGGCTTTCCCCTGTCCAAAGAGCCAGCCAGGGCGGCGCGAGCGCAGCGATCAGGCGCCCGGAGCAAGGAATGTGCCCACCCTCCAGCCGGTAGGTGCTTCGAAATACAGGACTTTTCTTTCTCCCTTTTTACCCCCTTTCTTTCCTAAATCCGAAAATCTGGGAGATCAAAGTTTAGCGTGGAGGGTAACGTGCTTCGATAAAATATGGTGACATCCCTGGGTCTCCTTCTCACCCCACTCCCCCCTTCAAACTATTAATTATTTCCAAGTCATTGTGTCCAAATACCCTCGCTAGGCTGATTACAAAGTGTATTGATTTAGCCTGGGCTCATCCTACCCTCTCTTCCTAATTTATTTTCTTGTTACTCGACCAGAAGACCCAAAATGAAACTTATTTCTTCGTCTTCCCTTCCTCCCCACCCCCAAGCCCTCTTCTCCAGGAGGCTTGAGCCGAAAAATGAGATTAATATAAACATTTCATTCGGTCGCCCCGGAGGCACTGCAGTGCTCTTCTGTGGGGCTGGGGGTGCGCTGATGTCCAGATGGAGGTATTTTCTAAGTTAGGGGTTTCTGATTTTGATACTGCCCCTTAATCACCAGCTTCTGGATTCCCTTTGAATGGAGACTGGGCATGGAGACCGTCCACACTTCACCTTGGCTCGTCGGCAGACTTGAGGGTTTAGGACGTGTACAATCAATAGCTGAGTTAAGAAAGCCTCAAGGATATTTAAGGAATTTCTCTACTGTTGAAAATATGGGGAAGAATTTCTGCAATATTTTTCCCTTCTCACCCCCACCCCCCCACACACACACTCTCATTTTTTTTTTTTCCCATGGAGAATCAATTTGGGGGAAGATTTCTTAAATAGAATTTGAAGAGAAATAGGAAGACTTTAGGTGTTGTCTACTCAGGGCTATTCTGCATAATTGAAACAGAAGTTCCTGCTGATTTCTGTTTTAGAATTCCTCTGGAATTTTGATTCTCAAAGTAGAAATACCCACCTCTTTGAGTCCAGGAAAAGCATACTGGGATCATATTTTTAGAAATTTGGGATTTTTGAAAATCTTTTTAAAAATTTTTACCCCCCTCTGTCTTTGGTTTGAAAGGTCTCATAATTAGAGAGCATTAAAAATATAAAATGCAACTCAGCTCGTTACCATTCAAAAGGTGTCAGTTAAGAATCTCACTGCAAAGGGAAAAAAAGGTTTAACATCTTGCCACTGGCTGCATCACCCCCTCTCCAGACTTTGGATTAGTCATTGTATAAAGGAGAGAGAGAGAGAGAGAAAAAATCACTTTTTTTTTTTTTTTTTGAAAAGTAAAGTAAACAGCCTCCAACTGCTGAACCTTGACAACCCAAATTAAGGAAGCAGGAGAGATCAAACAGAACTGCTGCTGGGTTGTTGTCAGGAGCTGGACGTGGAGAGCCTTGGACTATTCCACCAAGCAGCAAGGCTATATGTTCATTTATGCAGAAATGGACCATTGCAAATGCTGATCTTTGTTGTGCAAGGGAAGGCTCACTTGGAAGAGAATAACTCAGCCCCTCTCTGGGTTGCAGTTGCTTTCGTATGGATGCAGAGTTGCTCAACAAGTTGTTATTATTATTATTATTATTATTATTATTATTATTTGTTTGTTTAAATGCACCTCTCTGTATGAGGAGCATTGCCCCCCAAAACGGTATTCAGAGACTGTTAAGTCATCCGGAGGCTGCCTTGCTACCCAGAACTGTACAGTGGAATGCTTTTTACCAACATTAGACTCCTACACTAGAGTTAGATAACATTTTTCTCACATCCAGCTTAGAAGATCTGCCTCATCAGGGAAGCTAGGGTTTTGTATGTGAAGGTTTAAATCCGATGTGAAGCTAAAAAAAAAAAAAAAAGGAAAAAATAAAGAAAAGAAAAAGAAAAAGAAAATCCTTGGTGGTAAAGTTTAGTGTCAGCCCACTCTTGGAATTTAAAAAGGGGAGAGAGCATTCTCCAGATTAGACATAACCTCCCCTTTTTTTTAGATTGACATTCAGCATGACCATGATGCTACTTCTATTCAAGTTTTTTTTTTTTTTTTTTTTTTTGGTAACTTGACCATGCCTCTTGTCTAGGAAAATTTTACTGCTTTACATTTTTAAGGAAAGTAGTAAGAGTAATTACTTGAGCGTTTTTTTGTTTTCACAGGTTTATCAAACTATCATGAAAGAAACATCCACTATTCAAATTCACTGTCTCAAATTAAGGGGTTTACATAGCTGGAGATGTGTGTAAGATTTTCTGTTTATATTTAAATCCTAGAGTATAAACTGTATAACACTTTTTTTTCCCCCAGCTATAAACTATCCCCAAATTAAATGTCATTTTTAATTAAGTAGAACAAAGTAGAAAATAGAACAAGTAAACACATACGGAAGAATAAAAATAATTGTCATTTAAGCCTTGTAGTTTTAATTAACAAGTGTCGATCACATAGTAAGCACTTTTTTTTTTATAAGCCAGAGTTTCATAACCATTGTGCACAATATGTTTCAAAGCCTGCAGGTTTTATTGGCTATACCTTTATTGTATAATTAAGCAATGGAGTTAAACATACACATGGATGCTGTTAGGCAATTTTCTGCAATATGTAATGTTTTTAGAAAGCTATAAATATTTTCTGGTTAAATCATTTGTACCAACAATAGCAGAAGTTAACTGAGTTAATATTGAGCCCAGGCATGTTTTTTTTTTTTCTGTTACCAAGTTTTTCTTTGCTTCTCTGAAAACCATACCCCTGACCTTGTCAATTTGCATTCTAAGGCTCTGTTGACAGGTATTGTGTTTTCGCCAGTTGTTTAAACTAACAGAGAAAGGATTGGGATATTTTTCCCCAAACACATGTATTTATACCACATCAAGGTCAATGCCAAAATTGAGAGAAGGGAGAATCTAGTAGAGGGGGCTATTTGATTTGTGCCGGCTTCCTCTTTGCAGCTAGCCTCAGTGTGCGTATTTATTTTGTCTCCATGTTTTAGTTAAGATTCAGGCTTGGTTTTGAAACATTATCTTGTAAGATTCCGAGTCACCAAAAAGTATGCGTGCTCAGGGAAGGTTAGGCTTGGAGGGCCCATCGTTGGGTATGCCAAGAATATTTACAGAGTCTAGCAAGAGTTTTGTCTTTTAAAAATAATTTTAAGGACACGTTAATAAAATTTAAATAGATTGCAGGCTGTCAGAAAATAGTATAAATTTTGTTTATGATTCAGTTACTTTAAGGTACTTACATTAAAGAAACTCATTTAACCCCCTGGCTGAAAAGCATTAAGTGGGGAGGGAAGCCTTCCAAAGAGCTCCCCCTGGCCTTTGCTCTCCCGATAATCTTAAATTACTACAATTTAATTGCAACTTCAAGGCACTGAGTGTGAGCTGTTTCCCTGTGCCTGACAGAGGGTTTTCAGAGCATTGCTGCATTTGCACAGGTGGTATTTTTGTTTAATTTTTTTTTTTTTTTTTTGCTAAGGGCTTTTTCCTTTCCTTTCTCATCCTGTTAGATGTCACAGTCCTTTCATAGATTCGAGTCATAGTAAATGCCATTTGTGCTAAGACAGCAGTATTGGTCTTTTTTTTTTTTTTTTCTTTTTAAGTATGTTTTTGAATTCAGTGCACATAAAAGCCCCAAACAGGTAGGGGTTTGTTTTTGTAAAGAAAATAAGTCCAAGAAAGGCATCTCTTAAATAATTTGACAGGTGAACTTTGTGCCTGAGGTTTGGTATATACTTTTACTGTTGGCAGGGGATTTTTTTTTTTTTTTTTAACTTGGTGGTAGAAAAAACCCACCAGGTGATCAAACACGGAGCTTATGAGAGCAGCCAGGAAGCCCAGTAAACTCGCATGTGGGCCTGTCTGTTTTCTGAAGGATGGCTTGTTACCCCCGCCTGCAGACCTTTTAGTGATACGGGCACTATCCAAGAAACCGTCTTCAACTGATTTTTAAAACTATTTCTCTTGTCTGGTACTTGGATGAATTAAAGTTAGAGGTGCCAAAAGCTGGAGCGGCAGCAGCCCCATGAGATGAGGCGGGTTCCTGAAACGGGCATACTTGGCCAAATTTGGGGTATCTTATGCATGACGGTTGTTTTTTCTCCCCCCTCCTCCCTGGGACGGGACGTTGATAGTTTATTTCAGTGTGCATGTGACCATGTGGTTAATGGAAATTAAGCAGATTTGGATGGTGCCGCCAACCTAAAAATAAACGTCCTAAGGAACGTTTGATTTCACGAAGGGCTTTGGTTTTTGCATCCCATGTATAATGTTCCTGCACCGACTTCTCCAGGGCTGGTGTTCTGTCCGGAGCAGGGAGGGAGGGAGAGGCGAGGTGCAGGGCTGGCCGGGCAGGACAACTGGACAGCACTCTTTGTTTCTCGAATGGATTATTCTTAGCCATCCCAGCCAGCGTGGGCTGAGGCATTTCCCAAGCCTGGTTGGGAAGGCAGCTCCTGTTCAGCAGCAGGCTCATCTTTTGCCTGCTGTTTTGCCTAGTGGAGAAATATATTGACCAGATTGGCTCCTGGCTGCCTCTGCAGGTCTTGTTTTTTTCTCTGTGCATTCCCCTGATGCCAGCTTTTAAAGTGCACCCTGCCTCTGGCACACAACAGGTGTTGCTTTGGTCATGATTTTATGGGACTTGGAGTGAGAAAAATGTTTCCTACCTAGGCAGCCCCCTGGGAACGGGACCTAGTGCGGCACAGGTATAAATGGGGTCATTCTCAGGACCTCCCCCAACCTGTTTTAGGGGGAGTCCCCTCGTTCCAGTTTAGTCCCATGAAATTGACGATGAAGTTGTCATGGTTTGAGGAGTGTCTGGGAGAGGCGTGAAGAGGACAGGGGGAGCTTTTCCGTGCTCTGGTCTCGAGGTTCAACATGGTGGGGTTCAATT